CGTTTGCTCAAATTTAACTAAAAATTTTAAGCACAAAATGTAGAGAAAACAAGATTATAGAGCAGAACACAAAAGAAAACGATAACGTACGTGAGTGAGTGAGTGAGTGAGTGAGTGAGTGAGTGAGTGAGTGAGTGGGTGAGTGAGTGAGTACAAAGCAGGTGGGATTAATAAACCAGGAGGGAAAATAAAAAGCAAAACAACATGAAACCAGAAAACAAACAAGATCATCTGAACTCAAAGAGATAAATAAAAATGAAAAACAAGATAAAAAAAACTAAGTGAAAGCCTTTTGTGGGTTTCGGGCCTGATGAGCTTTTATTGAGGGTATTATTGACCTCTGACCTTCATGTGGAAAAGAGTAAGTGAAAGTTTGAACTTCAGTTTCACTTTTGTTCATCTCAAAAAGGACGTTCATCAATCCGATCGTTGTTTTTGTGAATGACAACTTTTGTTTTCAGAAATGTTTGAAGAATTTCCCTCACTTTAAACTCGTTAGTAAAATTAAAATTATAAAATAAAACCGAACCTCTTCATTAGATTGTCTTCTTAATTAAAAATATGGAGAAACGTTCTTTTAATCTGATGGATCGTGATTGTTTTCCTGCGTGCTCGATCCAGTCAGTCTGAAAGCAGGAAACACTGAACGTTTATCCTAAATCCCACAAAAGTCACTTTACTTGTTGCCTGATTAACAGACAGTGTTGGGAGTAACGTGGTACAAAAGTAATTAATTACTGTAATGCATTGCTTTTTGCTGTAATGTGGTAATGTAAGGCATTACAGGGAAAGAAAATGGTAATATTTACTCGGTACAATTGTCAGTAACGCGGTAATTACAATGCATTTTTAAACCCAGAATCAAGATGTGGGTTTCCTAAAAAGTCAAATTGCGGGAAGCCTGAAAAAAGATCCAGTATCCACATATATGACGTAATTTATGGACTCAGCTTTGCAGGCATTCTATGAGCAGAGAGGACGCAGCGGTGACGGCTCAAATACTCCAGCTGCGTCCTGCGCGCGGCCGCTGTTATATTCACAAAATCGCTCCAACCAAAACAAAGTCATTCGTTTACGATCGTTTATATCAGCCCATATTCTCTGGTACTTCATGTACTTTTCATCTGAGTTCATAATCTGTGTGCCGGTGATTTCACCTCATTGCTGCTGGAGCGCAGCACATGTTAAGCTTTTTTTTTTTTGCATTCGGTAGATCCCTTTGGCTGATTAGTTAGAAAGTAGGAAATCTAGGAAACAGTTTTTCTGGAAGACGGAGAAAACATGCAGCATGCAGGAAGGGCAGAGAGAGAAAGGGCAGGAAATTATTCACATAAAATCAAGAAAAAAAGAAAAAAAGTAGGTAGATTTATCCCCAATACACATTTTACCAGTGATAAGCAATAATATATAAGCATTTAATATTCATACATGTGATAGAATCAGATCACCCCAGAAGTCAGTCCCACATCCAGGGCCGTATCAAGGCATTTGGGGACCAAGGCAAATATAGGCTTGGAGCCCCCACCACCTCACTCCCTGCTCAGTTAATCTAAGATGGCAGCGTGCTGAGAGTACAGATTGTTGTTGCTTTTATTTAATAAACAATCATTTTAAAGCACTGTTATTATATCTGACTGTTTTTAACAGCAATCCTAGCTCAGACACCACATCACTTTCCACATATATGTCATGAGCTCACTGAGCGTCACATGACCAGATTCATATAGAAGTTGTTTTGGTGAAAGTAACTTAAAGTAATGCAAAAGTAGTGTAATGCCTTACATTTTAAAATAAGTAATATTGTAATGTAATTAATTACTTTTAAATGAGGGTAACAAGTAATAAATAATGCATTACCGTTTTGAAGTTACTTGCCCAACACTGTTAACAGCAAAATATAACTTGCGGAAAATGTTGCGAAACACCTTTTAGTTATCACAGAAATACTTGTTTGCGTTTAGAGATGTGATGAAAACGACCTACTGAAAAGAAAACCGAGCATCGGAATGAGGAAGACTTCGGACGCGGCGGTTTGACGGTTTCACAAACTGCTGATCTGCTAGAATTTTTACCCACAACCATAGCAGAGGTCGCCTGGAAAAATGCATCGCTGAAACCAGGGCCAGATTAACAATTTGTTGTACCCTGGGCAATAATATTAAAGGGCTGTCATGACTCCCAGGCTGACACCCTCCTCTGCCTCTGCTGGCTCCTCAATCAAGCCCTCAGCCACTTAATTACCATCACCTGCACCCTGTCATCAGCTCATCTCACTCACCTGCTCCTCCTGCTATATATTCACCAGCCAGCCACCAGTTCCCTGCCAGATTATTGAACGCTCTTTGCCTGTAGATCTTCCAGCCTTTCACCTTGCCTGATCACAGCGTCCGGACCTCGTTCTCACGCCTGACCCCTGCCTAGGACTCTGCCTGCCATCACCGCCCTCACCTGTCTTTGACCATGCCTCCAGCCTGCTCCCTCTTCGCCTCTGCCCTTACCTGAGTATTACCCCAGTAACACCTCCACATCTTAGCTCCTGGCTAATAAAGACTTTTAAAGTGCTTACTGTGATTGGTGTCATCACAGGTCCTTCTAGTTCAGTTCATGACAAGGGCCCCATCATCATGACCCAAGGATCACCATAATATGGTCACATACAGAATATTTTACTGTAATATGCAGTAAATATACTCAATACTTGAATGCCTGAAATCATGTAACCCGCTCAAGGTAAACTTTGACACACCTCGTGTGGACTGACCAATGAGGAGACAAATTCATACGTAATATGCAATTCATATGTAAATATTTAGAATATTTATTGCAAAATCTGATTTTTCTGCTTTAGTGCTGCAACAAGGTTTTATTAATAATAAATTATTATACCTTTTGTTTAACTACAGCATCGGTAAGCTTCCTGTGCACAGATTATTAAGGATGCTTGTTTCAGCTGTGAGATTAGACGATATAGGATCAATGATAACATAAGTTGTCACACACTCCATGGAAACTTTCAGAGAATCCACAAATAGTGGCTTTCAAACGGTTTTGTTACTTTTTACAAGTTTAGAAAAGAAGATGAGACAGCATGTCTGATAATTTAGTTTTTCATCTGATAATATTAGAACATGTCAGTAATGTCAGTGGGGCTTTTATAAACACTGTATAACTAATACTCCTGGAGAGGGTATGAATTACACAGAGGCTTCTGGGGAGTCTAGTTGGGGGGGGGGGGGCCTTCCCGTTTAGCCTTGGCCCCCAGAATGCCTTGAAACGGCCCTGGGTGTGTGACAGAGTTTTGAAGGTGATCTGAATTGTATCAGATGTATAAATATGACATGTGTATAACTTACTGTTTTATACAGGTAAAACCGTGTAGTGGAGATAAATCTACCTACATTTGACTCTTCAACACTTTGTTTTGTTTTCTTGTTTTTATTTAACTATTTTCCTGTCCTGTCTGTCTCTCATCTTCCTGCATCTCCTCTAAACTCTCCAGAAAAACTGCTGCCTGGATCAGTGGCGGCTCCAGAAATGTTTTTCTGGACGTGCTATGAAGGAGCTAGTCTTTTTATTGAGGGTGCTATGAAGGAAGTGGTCATGCGTACCTATTGTTCTCTAAAACACCTTCATCACTAGCAGATACACATGCGTGCACAAAACCTCAACAACACCTGAAACAATCATTAATATACATCATAAACATATGAACAATCGCTGACTTTTCCATGAAATCATAAACACATACAGCCACACAGAAAACCACCTATAGTGTTGCAAGGTTAGCTAACATTAGCGTTAGCATTTCCAGCGGCAAAACCCTCGATTGCTGCGGCGGTTGAGGGTTGACTCTCTTCATCTAGATCCGTAGGTTTTTGTGGGTCTGAGATCACTTCCAAAGATTCATTCGTTTCTGACTGAACCCGTGGAAATGTGGGCAACAAAAACCGATCCATTTCACCACTAGCTAGCTCTACCTTTCACTTGTTCGCAGGTGGAAAATGAGGTAAAAGGTTAACATCAATTTCCTGTTTTGGTTTAAGTTTTTACTATCTATATGATAATTTACTGATTATTTTTGTTTTGTATGTTAAATATTATCACATCCACACGTTACATTAAAATTAAATTGAAAAAAAAAAATTCTAATATTTACTTGGGGGTGCAATGACTAATCCAGGGGTAGCTATTGCGCCCCCTAGCGCCGCCACTGGCCTGGATTCGTACTTTTTCACCCCATCTGTTACTTTTGAGCAGATCAAAGGGATCTCCTGACCGCAAAGTGGAGTGGCGTTTCGATGCTGCGTCAGTGAGGTGAAATCACCGTAGCACAGGCAATTAGCTCCGCAGTAGCAGAGCGCTTCAGGCACAAATAAGACAGAAAGTAGAGAACATGTGCGGACATGAACGATCGTGTGTTAATTATAGTTTTTTGGTTGCGCCTCTTTGAGAATGGACCGTGCGCTGAACGCAGCAGCTTGGAGCGCACCAACGATCATCACTCTGCCGCTCTCTGCTCAAAAGAGTCCATGAATGATGTAATATAGGTAGAAAACTTTTCCGGCCCTCCCTGGATGGGTAGGATATCCAGCTCCCCCATAATTCGATCCCTGCTCCTGGATGAAAAACTGGACATTTTCAGCCCCCCACCCCCACCCCCCGGGCCACCCCTTGCGGGCGCCCTTGCTCCCGGTCACCACAGGGACTGATTTGGTGTGCCACCCCAACATTTTTAACGGCCAGTGTGAAAATGTTGTGGGGGGCGCCACTGCTTGTGTAGTGTAAAGGTAAAGGTGATCAACACCACACCTGCTGACCATACCCATCCCTCCATGACCACCTGGCAACCACCCATCTTCCAGCAGGTCACCATGGACTAAACGCCTGGTGTTGGATCCACGTGAAGATTTAGGTCAGCCTTGTGCTGACAGGGTCCAGCTAATAAAGTGAGAGAATGTGGTTTAATACTCGTGAAAACTCACTATTGCTGTGAAAGCGGTGGTGGTGCGGTCGAGAGGAGACTAATCACACCCATGAGGGAGGCTCTGGCGCGGAGAGAGGACGAAAAACGTGACTCTGCAGCCTGAAGAGCTGTTATGCAACCGCTGACCTACTAACACATATCCGCTGAAGGGGTGCCGGAGAAACTGGAGCAAAAGTGTCCGGCAGCAGCGCGCAGAGCCGAGCCGAGCCAGGAGCCAGGAACAGCCACCAGCAGACACCGTGACTCATCCGACGAGGACACGCACAAAGTTTTCAGCCCCATTTTCCTTCTCCTCCCTCTCTCTCTCTCTCTTTCATTCCGGAGGTTTCCTCTGAAGGGGACAAGGGAAGGAGGAAACGGGAACGAGACAGCTTTTGTGTCGGGGAAGCCTGCACCTTCATCTCCTCAGTCTCCTTTTTCCAGGTTTGTTTTACATGCTTTCTGTCTTTTTACCGCGTTTTATTGTCCGCTGCGGTGTTTAAACGCGTATTTAACGCGCAAGGGCACGATGCGCATGGCCGGTTATTGTTCACATGGCTCCGCCGGCTGATCCCGCGTCAGTGCGTGACTTCCAGCCAGGCTCTGCTTTTCAGCACGACATGCACGAGCCTGCGGAGCCAAATATGGCTTTTTTGTTTCGGCTTTTTCTTTTTTTTATGGTTAAAAATAAAATCCAAGCAAGAACACGACCACACATGTTCTCAATGTCAAGGCTGGTCGGTGTTTTCCAGGGAGCAGCTGCGTCCAGGCTGCTGTTGCACATGGCAGGCTCCTCTTGTGTGTTTTTGTTCACCATCAGATCACTAGTTTTACGTTCAGAGCCTCACACCCAGGTTAAATCAGCCTCTGGGTTCAGCTGAACCGGATCTCTGACATAAATCTCATCATTTTCCATAAAAAAAACGAAATTCACAATAAAATTCTAGACTCTTGTTCTATTTTAATATCAATCTCTGATCTATTATGAGTTTACAGAGCATACCAGTTCCTGCCCGTGACATAAAAACAATTTTGCTTACTTTAGTGGGATAAAATAAATTAAATCTAGATGTTTTTAATTCAGTTTTTGTGCGTGCTAATTAATGCACACTTGTGCTCTCAGTGAGTTGGAGGCTATGACATAACCAGCAGGGAAAAAGCAATAAACAGCAGCTCCCTCCCGGGACGGAGGAGCCAGTAATTGATTCCCCGCTCACACCCTGCCACTTACTCACATTTACATTAAAATCAGATTGGACTTGAATCCTAAAGCATTAGGAAACGCGTGTTTGAAGCGCGGTGATGTAACACAGCTGCTGTTATTTTTAAACCTGCTCAGAAGCAGAACGGCAGCAACAGGAAAAACAAGCAGGTATTCGTGACTGGTGGGGCTTTGTTGGAAAGTTGGTTCTGAAATCTCTGTGATGCAAAGCGTGGAAACCCGTGGCCCAGTTCTGGTGCGTCTGGTCTGGTCTCAGACTGTCTGGGCCAGCTTCCTGAATGTAGGTCAGACCTGAATCTGGGTGGGGAACACAGGAGCTTTATGGGACAACTGCTGGAATACTTGAACTGATCCGAGGACAAGCTTTAAGTCCTGTTTCGCTTCAGTTCTTGTTTCATTCTTTACAGTTTAGCAGAAAAAATAACCTGTATCCACCAAACCCTAACCCCATCCACAGCCTCTGCTGCACCTTTTCAGTCACGTAAACCTTCCGTGGGTGTTAAAGGACGTGTGCCTCCGACAGGGAATGTCTGGATTCCTGGTCTTTGAGTCTGATTTGACACAAAGCCGTGGGGTTAAAATGGAGGCTCCTAAAGGGGCCCCTCCACGTGTGTGGTGGCGTTGGATCATTTTAAAGACTTGGGAGAAGGGGGGAGAGAGGGGATGTCATGCGTTTTACTCATACTTGCCTCAGAGGGGGTCAGAGGTGAAGCAAACCTCCCCGAGAGACGTGTCTGTGAACTGCTTCAGCTCCAAAAAAAAAAAAAAAGATCCCAGGGAAAATCACGGCTTACCGTAGGTGCCATGAATCATTATTTTAAGTGGTAGGTATTGCACAAGAAGCCAATTACACAATGCATCATTCCCGGTCTCTTATCTACGCGCCGCTGCCTTCCTGCAGAGTGGGGCTAGTTAAAATGGAGACTGGAGGGCAGTCACAGCCAGTAACCTGTGGCGTCTGCTGCTATGTGATACGTCAGTGTTGCACAAGCTTCGCTCCGCAACCGGAGAAATTCAGAGCACGTACATGACGAGCAACAACAGCAGCCCCTCCCCATGCAGCCCTGAGAGGGAGCCTGTTCGTGAATTTGGCTGCAGAGATGGGTGTGTGCCATGACGTCAATCCCAATGCCCCATCTCACTGTAATTTCCCCATCTGCCTGGGATTTGTGTTGTAAAATGGGTGTAAGCTGCCGTAGGGTCGTTGCAGCGAGGAGGAGCAGGAAAAAACTGGAAAATCTGTTTCTCGGGCTTTCATAACCGTGTGTTTTAGTCATATGATGCGTTCAGGTGTCTTCCACTCCTCCTGCAGCAGGCTCTAAAATTCCTTCCATGTCCGCTAACTGAATTCCTTCTGTCACCAGATCCATCCCCGCTTCCTCCCACCGTCCCTCCACTCTTCTCTATTTTTAGCGTGCACTCTAATACTCTCTTGTTTCTCCTGCCCGCCCGCCCTCCCTTGCAGCTCCACTGACCTATTTAACGGCGCACCGTCAAAGACAGGAGGAGTGTTTACGGCTTTGCGCCGTTTCTAGGTCAGTGGGACAGCACAGACGTGTGTGCATGCTTCCTTCCCGCCCTCCTTTGTCTCGAGCTCTCCGTCTCCCCCCTGGCGTGTCTTAATGAAAATTATCCAACAGCGGCGCACAGGGGGGTGGGGGGGCACGGGAGGATTTGATCCCACATTTTTCCACATCTTTTGGCGACTGCGCTCAGATTTCCTTTGTGCGTTCTGTGCGGCGTTACACGAGAGGGTTCAAACCAACACATGTTGAGGAACAGCGTGCGGTGAATCCAGACAGTACCCAAGTCGCAGCACCAGAGGTATGGTTGAGTAAATGCTTCGTTTAGAGCAGCTTTCAGGCTGTTCAAGGTCACCGTGTGCGGGTTGTTCTAAATGAGGCGTTATGTAACAGGGTCACCGACTCGGGGGGGGGGGGGGGGGGTGGGGGGGGCAGAGAACTCCAAACAGTCTGGAGAATATTCTGTTATTATGTGGCGGCCGAGATCGGAGAACTTTTCACACAGTTTTGGCTCTGGTGCCTCGAGTGTTTTGAAGAGATTAATCTCGTCTCCTTTTCAAGGCTTTGTTGTGCAGAACAGCTGCAAGGACTATGCAGGGAATTCGCGGGTCCTTAAAAAGTCTTAAATTTGCTTTTCCAAATTTAAGGCCTTACAAATCCTTAAAAATGACAAATAATCCTTAAATACAGTTTCCAAAGGTCTTAAATGACCAAAGACCCAATAAACTAAATTATTTTACTTCTATAAAATTTTAGTGAATTTCTAGTTAGTGTTCAGCATTTTTTGTGTATGATGTTGGCATAGGTAAGCGGAACCGTACACATTCAACTGGTTGTGAAAGGGGCTATTTTTAGATGAGCACATTAGCTGGTTAAGCTAGCAGGAGCTTGCGCCATGGGGAAGTGCAAGTTTAATGGTAACTGGATGGCTAATCCCACGTTCACGACGTGGTTAGCACCAGTTCCAGGCAATAGCTGGAAATTATAGCTTAAATTTAATTAAAAAAAATTGCTTAAATTTGGTCAAAGTGACCTTAAAAAAGGTCTTAAAAAGTCTTAAATTTGGCTCCCTTAAGCCTAACACTGCAACAAATTCTTCGCAGAGTTGAGTTATTTTCCTTTTTTCATGAATGGGGCATCACTGAATAAAAAACAAAGAAACTAGGCCTGACTAAAGAATACCTGATGATAAAAAGTCTTAATGCTTCGTTTCTATTGTGGTAAATAAAATCTGAAAGCGCAGCGGTCGTTATCGCTGACTCAGTGACCCAGATTATTACGTGCGCTCCGTGTGCGTCATAAAAAGATGTTTTCATGTTTGCAGAGCTCTCCGGGGCTAGGTGCTGTGATGCGTTATTAATTACTGCACATAAGCTGTGCCGTGTTGTGCAACGGAGAGAGAGAACCGGATCTGAGGAGAAAAAAAACGAAACGAGCCGATCTGGTCGTTACGTAACCCGACACCGCTGTCAACATCCGTATGTGGTGCATTGTTTTTTCATTTTATTACGCAACACGTGATGGGTGGGAAAGGTTTCCTGTTTAGCTGCAGAGTTGACACACAAGGAAGCCCAGCAGCTTGTGGTGTTGTGTAATTTAAGATGTTCAGACTCGGACAAACAGAGAGGCTGTCGTGAGCAAAACATCTTCCCAAAAGCAGATATTAGAGATCACGGCTGTTTTTCAGCTACAGCATCCAGATCTTTGTTAGTCTGCCTGTAGAGCTTGATAAATCTCTCTTAGTGGATTTATATATCTGCTAAGTCACTGCCTAAGCTTCCCAATAAAAGAAAAAAATGCTGTTTGGTGCAATAAGCTCTTCCTCCAGGATGTCGCGCTTTGATTTCTGACTTGGAACCACAGTGACTGTGATTCTAACTCTCTGTTCCCCTTTTTCTTTCTGTCCGTGTCTCAGTTACCCAGTTAGAGGTCAACAACCAGCCACGTCGAAGCTGAATCCTCAAGGAGGCCAGAAGATGAAGCACTGACCTACATTCTGTGGAAAACACAGCAGCGGCCTGACAGGCGTCCCAGCTCTGCTGAAGATCGACAAAGACGCCGCTAAACTCTGAAATCGCCTCCTGCTCTCTGTAGAAGCGACTCGAAGACTCAAAATACAATCTTAAGTTTTTTTTTACTTCATTTTTTGTCAGAAAACGGTTTCAATGTCTGAGGTTTTTGTGGAGTTTCAACTCTTTTTAATCTTTCTGGCTAATTTAGACACTTGAAATTTTTTTGATCTGAAAGACAAGGAACGGAAATCAATGAGGCGATCTCTTCAAGGAGCACAAATACCACATCCGGAAGTTTTTGCCGACCCTGCGACATAAGTCCAACATCCCACCAATAAAACAGAAGGCTCAACATTTCGCATACTCTCCCTCCCCCTCTGCCCCACACTAGGGTCAAACTTTGGATCCCAAATGGAAAGTCTCAGTCTCCACATCCCATCCAATACCAACAAAAGTACCATGGACGTTGAAGCTTACTCCCCCTATGATGGCAACCTCCCTTCCCCTGCTCCAGAAGGAGGAGCCCGGATCAGCCGCCAGGGGAAAGGCTCCAAGCCCACAGTTACCTCACGTCGCAAGCGTGAGTTCATTTCTGATGAGAAGAAGGATGCTTCCTACTGGGAAAAACGCAGGAAGAACAACGAGGCAGCCAAGCGCTCAAGAGAAAAGCGACGCCTAAACGACATGGTGTTGGAGAACCGAGTCATGGCGCTGAATGAGGAGAACGTTCGTCTTAAGACGGAGCTCCTCCAGCTCAAGTTGCGCTTTGGTCTTATCAGCACGTCGTCTTACATGGAGAAAAGCCAGCAGATCTCCAACAGCGTCGCCGATGCCGGCGCCGGTAGCAACGGGAGCGGCACAAACGGTAGCACCTACCTCTCCAGCAGCGGCTACTCCAGCGCGTCCCAGGTGATGCTGAATTCGGATTCGTCTGAAACGGAACAGTCCAGTCGAGGTGAACGCCACACCACGCTTCACAAGTACTCTCCGCTGGGCTCCGTGTCCGACATGTCTGACGGCTCCTCCAGAGACAGCCCCGAGCCCATCAGCTACATCAAGAAGGAGCCTTCAAGCTTAGACTCGGCAGGACTGGAAAGCAACAGGATTTCCAGAGGAATCCATAATGGGATTCTCAATGGAATACCAGGCGGTGATTACCATGGCAACCACACCACTCTGGTTTCCTCACACCAGCAAAACTCTCCATTGGCCGAAAGTGCCAGGGACTACCTGCATCAGTGCCACGTGGAGCGCTCCAGTCCCGCTCCTCAGGCCACCTCTGCCCAGAGGAGCGTCATTTTGTATCGCTCCAGCAGCGGCTGTTATCCCATGGAGAGCCAGAGGTCGGAGGACCAGCAGTCCCAGCAGGGCAGACAACCTCAGCACATCCTGCCCTCCAACTTCTCCGACTGCTCGGCGACGATCACAGAGGTCGCAGAGAAGCTAGAGAGAACAAAGACCATGGACTCGCCGCAGTACGAATACACTAACGGTCACGCAGAAACCTCAGAAGAGCTGCAGCAACGATATGATCACAACTCCCAACAGTCACACCAAGACCTCAACCGTTGCAGCTACCAGATGCAGGAGGACAGTCTTCAGCATGCTGAGAGCCACCAGAACTCCTTTGCCCCTGATCTTATCCACAGTGAGGAGGGCAAGTCCTTCATACAGCACAACGGATACCTCAACACACTGGATGAAGAGCCTCCAGTGCTCACCTATGAGGGGGGTCCCCGAGCCGATGGTTTCTACCAGGAGAACTCTTCCACTAAAGACACCTCCTCAAGTGATGGAGACCCTCGTAGCTCTGATAAAGAGGGCTCCACAGACGACGAATCCCCCTCCTCGTCCTCCTCGGACATTAGTAGCTACCACCAGAAGGTAGAAGGAGCTGCCGGTTTGCACGGAGACTTTCAAGTCGAGGTCAAAACCACTGCGCTGCCCCACAAGCTCCGCCTCAAGTACAGGGCTCTGTCGAACGGGGCTCAGGTGGAGGGACCAATCAGCAGCTCCATGTCCCCATCTCCCACTTTGCCCCAGCATCCGTACTTAGCCCTGCCTGGCAACCCCCACCACGGCCAGGCCAACGGAGAGAGCAAAGAGACCGAGTACGCGGAAGAGGCCGTGCCTCAGATGAAAGAGGCTAAAAGGGAGGGCGGGAAGAAAGGATCCAGTAGTGGACGGGGTGGACGCAATAAAAGGCGGGATTAGGGACAAATGTGGGCAGCGTTAGCATTTTCCTGTCACCTCTGAGGTGGAAAACATGCCACCACTGACTTTGGCACCTTGGGAGTCTGAAATGTCAGCGACCTGTGTGAGGTTTATTTAGTCCTACGTGAAAACGTGAGTTTGCAGACGTGTGATAACCCAGATCACTGCCAAAATTCTCCATGATCGGATCTGATGCATTCAGGATGAATGAACAACATCTTTTTGGACTTAATTTGCTGTTAAAAGCAAAAAAAAAAAAAAAAAAATTTAAATTGAACTCAGTTGGATCAGTCAGGGGTGCAGGAGGTCACGTGATTTCCTAGACCCGTTTTCTGTCCGTGATCGAGGGATTTCACGCGTTTGGACACGTTTTCATTCAGATGTCACCCTCCAGATTCACTGTGTCACCTGTAACCCTCTCTTAGATGCTCTCCTACCTCCCACCACTTCTACAAACACAAATAACACATTAAGTAGGGATGAGGTTCAACTCCAGAGCTTGGGATCCATCCCTGAAGGAAAACTCAATTATTCATTACTGATTGCCTTAGTGTCTGGCCAGTCTCTATTGTGGCATTATGGGATCATTCCTTTACCAAAGACACGCATATTTCCTTTACCGTCTCCCTTTGTCTGCAGTTTTCCTTCAGTCGCTCCCCTCAGCCATCCAACCGTCGGCACACGAGTCCCCCTCCACTCCCAAAGCACTTAGATTGTACATTACTGTGACATAGAAATTTGCATATATGGAATTTATATATATTTTAAGAAAAAAGTGGCAAAAACATGAAAAAACAAAGCACTGGGATGTAAAAGTTGTAGATGAGTGTTGTTTTTTTAAACACCCTGTACAGTTCCTTGTTTAGAAAAATGCCTCAAAGACCTTTTTCTTTCATTAAAACTGTGAGCCACTTCTTAAAAAAAGGTTTTCCTCAAATTCCTGAGATCATTTTTAAACAGTCGAGGCCAGTTATGCACATATCAGTCAAGGCGACGCCGGCACACGCGGCAGCGCTTGACGAGCACAAGCCTTGTTTGTCAGCCGTTCGACAAAATAAAAGCATCGTAATTTTTAGGAAAACGCGTCTCTGTAGTCACGACCAGCAAAGCTGCTCCCTTGTTACGAGGTGCCTCTTTATTGTGTTGTTCCTCATCCCAAACGTCTCCCACTCACCTCCGCACTGATCTGTTTTAGTAGCTGCAGTAGATTTTTACAGTGTTTAAACTGTTTTACTTCCTGGTGCCTGCCTCTGGCCACTATGTATAAATGTAAAGTTGTCTATCTTGTATACTTCTGTCATTATTTTATTATTATTTCACCAATATTGTTATTTTCTATTAAGTTTGATGTATTTTTGTCCCATTATTCCCTTCCTGGTTGTGCTGTGTATTTACCCACGCTGCCCTTTTACCGACGTACCATTTGAATTTCGTGTTACCGTGTAAACTTCGTCTTTTGCCGAAAGGCTTTTTTGAAAATGAAAAAAAAGGTAAATACCGTCTGTCTATAAGTGGTTCCATGTTGCTCAAAGTTCACGTTGACATGCAGAAAATCTGTAAGACAAAAGAATTTGAATAAAAAAAATCACATTAAAGTTTGTTGAGTTTATAAAACGTCTCTTCTGAAGTTTTTCGGTCACTTTTAGTGAATGAATTAAAAAAAAGGAGAATTTTCATGATAAACAAACTGAAAGCTGCAGGAATAAATCAGACGGATGAGTTCAGAAGAAACAGGACAAGAGGGAAGGGGAATTTGGTTAAATATAAAATCAAATATTAATTATAATTAGAATAAAACAGGCATGGATGGCAGGGAAACCTTTGTTTAGCTTGTCTAAAATGTCACTTATTTGTTCAGATTTTATTTCCAGTAAAAAGCCAATTAAACCAAGAGAAAAGTTCAAGTTGATAAACACTGAAAACCCATTTTTAATGATTATTTCTGACTCTAACGGGTCACTCAGTGTTTCATGCAGGCTGAACATGAAAATAGTCTCCTACACCTATCTCCTGCAGTAGCTTCTGATAGAAAAAAAGACGGTGAAACTCTAGGATAGAAAATTCTGACAGATCTACGTCACGCTGTCACTAACATTCATGGACTCACCCATCTGGACTCACGAACGTGGAAGGCCGTTGTTGGTTTAGCGTCCAGGAAACAGCAGAAAACGTCTCTGCTAGTAGAAGCTAACCATTAGCATTAGCAAATCCACCACAGAGCAGAACTCCTCCATGCTTGTGTTATTGGTGGAGATGAAACATCAACGTTGCAGAGCAAACAGAGTCAGTGGTAGAGTCGTGTTGCTGTTAGCCAATCAGAGGAGAGATGTCCACATGTCAGGAAGTAAGGCTCTAAATCCTGTGGTCTGAAGCTCAGCTGTGATGTGGCTCACTTCTAGTTCCTGTAAATGGTGCACCAGTACCTTTTGCCCCCAGAGAACGACTTACTAGACATTCATTCCAACTAGAGACCACTGCACATGTATCTATTAAACGATGTTCAACACCTTTAACAGATTACTCCAGAAATAGAAAAATTGACCACTCCTTAAGGTTGAATTACACACCAAACTGGATTTTCCACACATTTATCTTAATCATGAAAAAGTCACATTGAATTGTTTCAGTTCTTAAATTACCATTTAATTCCTAATCAACAGCCCTTCCTCTCTCAGATGTTTCATCTGGGCCTCCCTCTCTTATGTGGTGCGCTGATTTTTTATGTCCACTGGAAAACATTGGAAGACTTTAGTTTCACTTTATTAAAAAAAGTCAAAAAGTGTTTACATACATACACACACACATATATATATATATATATATATATATATATATATATATATATATATATACACTCAACAAAAATTAAAATGCAACACCTTTGTTTCTGCTCCGATTTTTCATGAGATGGATTTAGAGATCTAAAATTCATTCCAGATACACAATATTACCATTTCTCTCAAACATTGTTCACAAATCAGTCTAAATGTGTGATAGTGAGCACCTGTGCTTTGCTGAGATAAACCATCCCACCTCACAGGTGTGCCACATCAAGATGCTGATCCGACATCATGAGTAGTGCACAGGTGTACTTTATACTGCCCACAATAAAAGGCCACCCTGGAATGTGCATTTTTGTCTCACAGCAAAATGCCACAGATGCCACAAGCATTGAGGGAGTGTGCAATTGGCATGCTGACAGCAGGAATGTCAACCAGATCTGTTGCTCATGCATTGAATGTTCACTTCTTCACCATAAGCCGTCTCCAAAGGCGTTTCAGAGAATATGGCAGTACATCCAACCGGCCTCAAAACCGCAGACGACATGTAACCACACCAGCCCAGGACCTCCACATCCAGCAGGTTCACCTCCACGATCGTCTGAGAACAGCCACTCAGACAGCTGCTGAAACAATTGGTTTGCATAACCAAACAATTTCTGCACAAACTGTCAGAAACTGTCTCAGGGAAGCTCAACAGCATGCTCGTCGTCCTCATCGGGGTCTTGACCTGACTCCAGCTCTTCGCCGTAACAGACTCGAGTGGGCAAATGCTCACATTCGATGGCGTCTGGCACATTGGAGAGGTGTTCTCTTCACGGATGAATCTCGGTTTACATTGTTCAGGGCAGATGGCAAACAGCGTGTGTGGTGTCGTGTGGGTGAGCGCTTTGCTGATGTCAAAGTTGTGGATCGAGCGGCCCATGGTGGAGGTGGGGTTATGGTGTGGGCAGGCATCTGATATGGAAGAACACAGGTGCATTTTATTGATGGCATTTTGAATGCACAGAGATACCGTGATGAGATTGTTGTGTCATACATCCATGAACATCACCTCATGTTTCAGTAAGATAATGCACGGCCCCATGTTGCAAGGATCTGTACACAATTCTTGGAAGCTGAAAATGTCCCATTTCTTGCATAGCCAGGATACTCACCGGACATGTCACCCGTTGAGCATGTTTGGGATGTGCTTGACCGGCGTATACAACAGCATGTACCAGTTCCCACTAATATCCAACAACTTTGCACAGCCATTGAAGAGGAGTGGACCAACATTCCACAGGCCACAACTGACAATCTGATAAACTCTATGTGAAGAAGATGTGTTGCACTGCATGAGGCAAATGGTGGTCACACCAGATACTGACCAGTTCTGAGTCCCCAGACCCCAATAAAGCAAAAAACTGCACATTCCAGGGTGGCCTTTTATTGTGGGCAGTATAAGGTACACCTGTGCACTACTCATGATGTCAGATCAGCATCTTGATGTGGCACCCCATTTTGTTGTAATTTATTTAAAAGTATTGCATGGTCTACTGTATCAAAGGCCTTTTGGAGGTCTATAAATATGCCAATAGAATACATTTTATGATCCATTTTTTCGGTGACCTCTTCTATGAGATCTATCAGTGCAAGAGCAGTTGATCTATTTTGTCTAAATCCATATCGACTATTATTGATTAAGTTGTATTTTTCAATGAAACCGTTCATGCGTTCCAAATAGTTTTTCCAATACCTTTGATAACTGAGGAAGTGTAGAGATCGGCCGATAGTTAGTGATCTGATGTTTTTCTCCACTTTTATAGACTGGAGTGACTTTTGCTGTTTTCATCAGTTTGGGAAACTCTCCGCTTATAAAAGATAAATTGCAGATATGGGTTAAAGGTGTTGCCATATTGAGTATTACCTGTTTTATTATAGTCATGTCAAGATCATCGCAATCAGTAGACTTTTTATTAAGTTCATTTATCAGGTGATTTTAGATCACCTGACAGATAAGAAAAAGGCGAATAATTACTGGTGACTATGATCACGAGGGGATCTGGTACAAATATCTATTTTACAGATTTTGGGACTGATAGAGAATATTAATATTTTATTTATTATGATTGATATATTTATATTTTATTTTATTAATAAATAAAATTTGTCTGAAGTTTTACAGTCCAACTATAAATTGAAAGTTTTGCATCTTTGTAGAAGAGCCCACCCAATCAGAGGGCTTCCTTAAAAAAGAGGCGTGTCATTTCAGGTTGTCATAAAACAAAACAAAACAATAAAATCCAAATCATTAACTGGTGTGTATTTGCGTTCATCCTACGGTTGCACAAATCAGTGCACTAATGAAAACAGATTACTTGGGATTACTGTAGACTTTTTCTAGCATACCTGTTGAGATTTATCTTGTTTATTTATATTTAAACTATCATGCCATACCATATGTCTGCTTTTGTTAGGTGGGTAAACACCTGTGGCGCACCTGTGTACGACATAAGCAGCCACTTCTGGCTCAGGAGATGGTTTTTTTTAGTAGCTGATTTGTGTTTTGACTCAACTAAAAACACTTTAAAGCCCACGTGATTTTTGTTGCTGCAAACTGAAAAATATTGGCTTTAGGACTGTCCAGAGTTGTGCAATATCATAACCCAGAGCTTTAGCAAGTTTGTTTTGGATGAAGAACGTTATCAAACCGAGCAAAAGCAGGTTGCACAAGAGCCTCAAGAGAAGAGATGCATCAGTCCATGACTGCTGAGGGACCCAGCCCCCTCATTAGGACAAACAGCTGTAAAAGAACAGCAGGTTGGCATAAACAGAGCAGGTCTCAAGAGTTACATAAGAGACATGACAGGAAGAGAAGCCTATCACAGCCAGAGGTGTTGCAATGTCAAGGACACCTCGTTTTCTCAAGAATCACCTGACTGCAGCTCCTGAGAACCTCCACCCTTCAAAAAACTTCTTTTCACCCTAAGATTGCTTCACGTTGAGCGACTGGATGGAGAAAATCAAATCCTTGTCTTAGCCTGAGATGAATGGGTGAAGGATGTGTGTACGAGGTAGCAGCAGACCACAAACAGACCAGCTGTTTCTCATCAGTAATACGAAACTCTTTTGTGTTTTCACTTCTGCTCTCGGTCGCCCAGCAGCCCGCTGCAACAAGGCGACATTCCTGAGCAGACCATAGTTTTAAAGCTGCACCATCATTCACTTATTTCCACCTCCTCCTGTTCCCCCCCTCCTTCGGCTAGAGCCGTACAAGCTGCTTTGTGTTGTGTGGAGGCTTGTGAAAACAGGACGGGAGAGTAAAAGTAGGTCAGCGAGGAGGGATGGGAGAGGAGAGGGGAGAAAGAGAGGTTATTCAGAGTGGAGAGAATGAGAGACGGAGGGGAGAAACACGGGGGAGGGGAGGTTACATCACACCCCTCCACAGAGTAAACTTGAACAAACTACTGAAAGAAGCTCTCTTTGCTCCAGGGAGCAGGTCAGGAGCTCAATGGCTGACTTTTCCTCCGAGCACAGACCGTTTCGTTCTGGAATGCTGCATTTAACGACTTCACCTTGAAACTTAAACGACTAAGATCTGGTTTGCAGGTGTTTATCAGAATAGTACAGGAGTCATGTGAAACAAACCCTGACCTCATCTGACTTCAAGTCCAAGTTTCTCCTCAACACCCCCAAACTAACCCAGATCCATCGGGTGAAGAGGTGGTTGGGCCACGGCGCGGGACGGCTCTGAGCTGGGATGTGAGGAACTTGGTGAAAGTTGGGTCAGCACTGAGCGTGTTTGTGAAAGTTAGAGCGTGAGGTGGGCGTCGGCCGTGTGCTGGCTGTGGT